AAAAAAAAAAAAAAACCCTGAAGATTGTGGGGTGCTCTTAGGAGTTGAGGTTTTCCAGTTCTAAGCAGTGGCTCTTCAAATAGTACCTAAAGGCTCGGCGCCTGTGGCTCAAGTGGCTAAGGCGCCAGCCACATACACCTAAGGTGGTGGGTTCGAATCCAGCCTGGGCCTGCCAAACAACTACGGCTGCAACCAAAAAATAGCTGGGCATTGTGGCGGGCACCTATGGTCCCAGCTACTTGCGAGGCTGAGGCAGGAGACTCGCTTAAGCCCAGGAGTTGGAGGTTGCTATGAGCTCTGATGCCGTAGCACTCTACCCAGGGGGACAGCTTGAGATGCTGTCTCAAAAAAAAAAAAAAAAAAAAAACCAACAAAAACCAAATAGTACCTAAAATGGAAAATTCCTGCCATAGTTTCTAGGAGCATGGTGTGGGTGGTGGGGTGGGCACTGGCACTTCAGGTTAAGGCAAGGTCCTATGTCCTATTGTTGGTGTGTGAAGGAGCTGGGACAGGGTCTTCTTAAGGGAGGTGTAGGGGACAGGTTGGGATCCCAGACACTGTTAGAGAGAGTGGCCTGCCTCACCATTTCACACCCCCAGTGAGTGGGGGCCTGGTTTGTCTATGTAGTCAGTGCTCTGCTGTTTGGGGCTGGCCCCAGGAAGTGTGCCTGAGCACCCCAGAGGCTGGCTGTCAGGCTGCAGAGGCAGAGTTAGAGCAGTCCCTGGATACCTGGGAGGGAGCTCGATGATAGCAGCTGGAGGCTGTCCAGGACCCCATCTTCATACAGGGCCAGCTTCTGCACCATCTTCTGTCGGGCTGGGTTGATAACAATCTGTGGTGGCTCCGATGACATAGAGCTGCCCAGGGGTGATCCTGGGGTGGAGATAGCACCCTCTTAGTTGTTCCTGGAAACACCTCAGTGACACTTCAAGCTTCACCAAATCTTTTCAATCCCCAGCCTAACACCTGCCTCTCTGGCTTCAGGACAGAATTCCTTCATGAAGTGTGAGGTCAGGGCCCAGAGTAGGCTATGCCACGGACCCAGCTCTTGGGCTTCCCTGGACAGAACCTGCCTTGTAGGTCAGGGGTGGTGGCTCACGCCTATAATCCCAGTACTCTGGGAGGCCAAATCGGGTGGACTGCCTGAGCTTGCAGGTTCGAGACCAGCCTGAGCAAGAGCAAGGCCCCCATCTCTAAAAATAGCCAGGCATTGTGGCCAGCACCTGTAGTCCCAGTTACTCGGGAGGCTTAGACAAGAGAATTGCTTGAGTCCAAGAGTTTGAGGTTGCTGTGATCTATGACACCACAGTACTCTACCAAGGGTGACAAAATGAGACTCTATCTCAGAAAAAAAGAAAACCTGCCTTGTTCCTGGCTTTCAGGAGTGGGATGGGGAAAAAGGCCTAGAAGGTGAATTCCTGGCCTCTGATCCACTGGGGAGGGGAAAACAGGACAGCACTGGCCATCCTTCATGCCCCTTTCTGTGGCCTCAAGCTTGCCAAGGACAGAGTGAGTTGACCATCTGGCCTCCGTTCTCATTTCCCAGAAGGCCAGGGTGGGGAACGTGGGGGCTGTTGCCTAAGGAAGTCCCTGGTCCCTCTTCTGCCCCTGTAGCTACCTTCCATGACTGTGGGCCGGAGCCCTGGGCCACTGCCCCAGCTTGACTCTCCAGCAGTGTCCCCCTGAGTACAGCCAGCCTCCCTGAGGGGTGCTGGGCCTGGAGAACAGCTTGGGGTCAAGTGCCAGGAGTGCAGGGCAGCAGAGAGGCCGTATACACTCTCGTCGCTCTCCACGGGCTGGTTGGGGCCTTTCTGGAGCTGCTCTGTAACCTGGGCTGGTGTTCCTGGTGGCACTACCAGGGGCTGCCAAGGGGTACCCGCACTCCGGGCACTGGTAGCAGTAGACATGTAGGAGTTCTCCTGTGGGGAAGGGGGGATGCAACTCGTGGCCTCTGGCTGTTTAGGCAGCCCTGCTGCTGCCTGCAGCCTCTCCAGCCTCTCGTACACCTGCAGGGAGAGAAAAACAGCTCTCAGGGAGAGCAGGGCCAGTGCTCCTGGGTGTACCAGGTCAGGTCAACCTTGGTCTCAAGATGGCAGCAATGGCTTGGCATTCTGCGGTCAAACCACAAGAGCTGCTCTAAGTTGCCAGTAACCTGCCCCAGGACTCAGGCTGCCACCCTGGGCCCTGCATAACTATTCTGGGGGATGCAGGAACCACTGACCTGGCACACCCTGTAGCTGGGGAAGTGCTGTTCCTTGCCTCTTTGTCCTTGCCACAAGGAGTGCTGTGAATCATGGCTACCAAAGCCAAAGACTAAGAATGGCTTCTCTTTCTCATCCAGAAAGAACTTCACTGCCCTGCTGCCTTCAAATGGGGCTTTTCTAATATTCAGCTGTCACCAGCCATGGGGAACAAGGCTGGACAGAAAAGGGGAGATGCAGTGGTACAGTAAACCCAGCAGGGGGTGCAGCAGGTGCCCTTTCCTTCTGCCTGGATGAGGTGGAGTCAGAGGTAAGCCCAGCAGAGCTGACTGCCCTGGGTCCCTCAGTTCAGTGGGGGCAGAGTCCTGAGCAGAACCAAAGGGCAAGAGAGGAATATCTGGAAACTCATCTTCAGGAAGAGACCTGGCAGGAGCCATGTGTCACTTGCTGCAAAGCAGGGACAGGCATGTGGGGTTTCCAACTGGCTAACAGGTCCCCCTGGGCAGCTGGTTTCTCAACTGCTTTCTATCTCCCCAGGGCTACCTGGGTCATGGGGGGCCTCTTCTTGGCCCGGCGGTGCAGGCAGCAACAAGCCAGCTGCCCCAGCCCCAAGCCCAGTTCAGGCAGGCACGGTCCAGGCCTGGTATCCAGGTGCTTCTTGTAGATCTGGGTAGAGATTGGTACAGCCCAAGCATCTGCTGCCAGACCTGTTTGCAGTGTGCTCTGGGTACTTTTCAGGGTCACCCCGGCCTCCTCTGCTTCCTCTTCAACCAGGTCTTTCTGTGGGATGGATACTGTGAGCATGGCTACCAGGTAGCTACACCTTCAGGGGCATTCCCCAGGCCCTTGTCACCCAATACTGTTGTCTTCTTTCTATAGTTACTAAACACCCACTGTGTGTCCAGGGCTCCCCCAGGATTCCCTGGGTTCTTGCTTTACAGAGCTGACCTCTGGGGGGCTACAAAGAGATGCCTGTAAGTCTACCAACTTTTAAGACACCCATGGGGCATGCAGTTGGGGTCTGAGCAAGTAGCACTTGGGCTAGGATGTGAAGCCATGAACTAGCCAGAGAGGGCAGAACCAAAAAGGGGAGTGCCCCACAAAGAGGTTATCATGGGACTGGAAAAGGAACTAGAGGCCATGTGGCATTTTAAGGTGGGACGGACCAGGAGGTACCACCAGGGTGGGTGCTGGCTCTTCAGATGGAGGGAATGCCACAAACACATATGAAGGTCCTGGAGCAGGCAGCACAGAACGCCCCAAGCATAGGGTACCATGGGAGTTGTGGGGTCATGCTGTTTCAAAGGATTGGGTTTTTACCATGGAGCAGAGAAAAGGCAACTGGGCTTTCTGAAAGGCCACTTTGGCTGCACGATGGAGAGCCAATTGGGAAGGGTCCAGAGAAAGACCTCTGAGAAGCTTGGCATGTTTCTCTAGGGCAGCGATGGGGACAGATGCAGAAGGTAAGGAAGGAGGGGCCAAACCCCCACTGCGCTCCCTGGAACAGACAGTGCCCTGAGCAGGAGGAGAGCAGCAGGAGGCACCCGACTCCACATACGGCAAGCAGCAAACGTGATCTGAGCATGTTCCCAGACAGGAGTCGTGTGAGCACTATGCATGTATTCTATTTTGTACATAAAGAAACTGAGGCCTAGAGAGTAGCAGGAATTTGCTCCAAGTCTACCATCAAGCAGAGACTAGAACCCAGGTCTCCCTCCAGCCTCTCAACTCATCTCAGTCTTTGGCAAGGCAGATGGGGGTGAAGAAGTAAGGACGTGGCACATCCACACCTAGTGCTCACCCACAGTTTGCCCATGGGGGCCTGACTCCACCGCTGCCTCCCAGGTCCCTGTCCTCTAAGTTCTACTGCAGCACCACTCTCAGTGCACTGGGACTGTCCCCCTCCTCCTCCCAGCCCAGTGGAGGCATCCATAGAAGAAAGACAGGTTTCTCCTTGGCAAAGTAAAGCAAACTGCTTAAGGGCCCTGCCCACTTCTAAAGATGAGTCAGCAGCAGCAGAGGCTTCTGGGCCACGCTGTGTGCTGAATCACTGTCCCCTCTCCAGCTGTACCTGTTGGCTGCCCTGCCTCAGGAGGCTCACCAGATACTTGGCCCTGGCCCCGTACATCTTCACAGCCCTTTGGCCAGTCAGTGTCTCCAGCACCACCTAGAGAGACGGCAGGACAGACAGTATAGCAGTGGCTTCTGGACCAATATCCACCCCCCCCCCCCCGGGCCTTGGCAGGAAGGACATGTAGAGGCCTCTGGTGGACAGTGGATTGGGGCTGACAGGGGTATGGCCCTGAGACAGGCAGGTAAGGACCAGCTACAAACAGAGAAGAGGGTCAAGTGTCATGAGATAGAAGCATAGGCATCTTGGAGGGCCCACGTGCAGAAAAAGATGTCAAAATTACAAACACAAAGTAAGTTTGCAGGGTGAGGAAGAGAACCGTGCAAGGCAAGGAGAGGCCCTGGAGATGAATCTTTGTCAGCTTCTCACCAGGTTGGCCTCTGACCCCTGCAGAGAATTCTCCATGGCCTCCTGCCTTTGCCTACTTCTGTTTTTTTTTTCCCTCCCCTAAGCCATTGGAGGGGCCAGCAGCTCACCACCCCAAAGCTGAAGGTATCAGTGTCCACAGCCAGTCTCCCTGTCTTGATGTATTCCTCAGGCAGGTAAGCCAGGGTGCCCCGCACCGTCTGTGTTCGGGCCACCGTGCTGCTCTGGCTAGGGTTGGCCCCTGCAAAGCGGCTGAATCGGGCCAGGCCAAAGTCTCCCAGTTTGGGTATCAGTCTCTCATCCAGAAGGACGTTGGAACTTGGGGAGGGAAGAGAGTGGAGTCAGTCCAACCCTCACTCCAGCTTGCTCTGCCCCCAGCACCTGCCTGGCTGGGATGAAACTGTGCTTGAGGCTGCCAACCTGGCACCTTGCCCATAGAAGGCTGGGGGTGCTGCCTGGGTGTTCCAGCTGCCTGTGGGGCCAGTAGTTCCTGAGGCCCCCATACACAGCTTGTCCTCTGTTCATCAGTGGAGCTGTCCTTGGCCTGTTTCCATACTGTGCCATGCTGGGGTGCTCAATACCCTGAGAACCCCCAGCTTTGAGGTCCCAAGCTGTGCTCATCCCCCACATCAGGATAGAGCAAGGTGGTTCTCATGGAGGGCACCTAGGCTCTGTCTTCCCAGCTCTTATGGGACCCTCCTCACCTCTTGATGTCTCCATGAATGAGGCTGGGGATGTCCCGATGTAAGAACTGAATTGCCCGAGCTGTGCCCAGAAGGACGTCTAGTCGCTGAGGCCAGGAGAGAGGGGGGCAGGCCTGGGTCTGGGGTGGCAAAGGGAGCAAAGGGACACAGGGGAGGCTGGGGGGTAGCCATTCTTTGACCACCAACCCTCCCTCCACCTGTTACCGACTGGCATGGAACAAGCCACTTCACTCTTTGGGCCTGTTTCCCCTTCTGGAAAACAAGGACATAGTCTCTTTGACATGCTTTATAAGCAGGTGAAGATTGAGCTGTCCCATTGGTTTGTAAAGCACTCCAAGGCAGGAAAGTGGTTGGGGAACGTGTTCTTGGGGTTCGTGACAGAATCTGATAGGCTTCAGTTCCCAGACTTCATTCCTTCATCTCTGGGTGGTCAGGAAGTCATCTAAGGCACTCTCGCTACCCTCCCCAACACACGTGCACTTGGTCCCTGTGTCTTGTGGGTAACTCACTCAGATAGGGCCAAGTCTAGCATCCAGGTGGTTCAGCCCACTGACTACTGCCAACTTTGCCTCAAAGACTATACTGACAAGACCCTTCAGCTACTCTGATGGCAAAAGGGAGAAGCTTGAGTCAATAACCCCCTTTTAGAGGGCTGCCAGGGATGGGCCACAGGAAAGAGTTCTGTAGCAAAGAGCTGTCTTATGCTAAATCCTGAGCTAGGAGCTGTGAGGAGACGGGAAGCCCAGGCTCCAAACTGGCAGGACCCAGCCACAGAGGCTAAAAGCTCCTAAGCCCCATGTCTAGTTCTGTCCAGGTACCAAGAGTGCTGTGGGTCCAGGCCAGTGTGCCAGGCTAGTTGTGCCTACCTGGAAGTGGAGACGGTCTTCCAGGGATCCATTGGGCAGGAAACCATACACAAGGCAGTAGAAGCCATTCTGAGCACAGTAGCCAGCAAAGTCCACAATGTTTGGGTGACGAAACCTGTTTGACAAAGTAGGGCCTGAACGCTCTGGCCCTCTAGTCCCCCACTTCCAATAGCCAGTCTCAGTGGGCAGTCCCTGCTGGTCCCTCAGTGAAGCTGGGTCCAGCAAGCTTCAGGTACCCGAGGGAGCCAGGTCTTGTGGCATGTCATCCCAGAGCCTGACAGGGCCCTGGTCCAGCCTTCCCTCTTTCCCCAGCCAGGAGGCTCACCTGGACAGTTGTTCCACCTCAGTCAGGAAGCTCTGCCTTACTGCAGTCCACTCCAGGTCAGCCTCCTGCAGCAGCAGGTGCAGTGGGAGAGGGATAGGAAAAATGGGCAGCATGAGGCTCTTGTAGCCAAGGCTTGTCGGCCACTTCCAATACCACCTGTCCTGGGCCCAGAATTGAGGGACCAGGGACTTCGTACTGGAATCAGAGGGCTAAAGGAGTCGTGAGGCAACCAAGGAGAGAGACTGGGGGGGGGGGCAGTGAGGGCATCTGATGGGCTTATGGGGTCTCTGCTTGGAGGCGGCTCACCTCCTTCAGCCTCTTGACCGCATACACCGTGTTCCGCATCACTGCCCGGTACACGCGCCCAAAGCCGCCCTCCCCAATCTTCAGCTCCTCTGAGAAGTTGTGGGTGCCCTGGGAAATCTCATAGAGGGGCCAGCAGAATGGAGAGGCATGGGCCCCCTGCAGGAGGGACACTGGGCTCTTTGAGCTTGGCTGAAGGAAGAGACCCTGGATCAGGTGTGGTCTGGGTCTCCCCCACTCTGTCCAGGGCTCCAAGCTCCCCAACCCCAGCTGCCTCCCATCTGACCCAGTTTGGCTAACTGGGGCTCTGCCATGCACCAAAGGCTGAGTTTCTTTTCTTTGTCTCTGCCCTTCCGTGGAGCTAGGGGACACCTACCTTGGTAGAGGAAGGAGCTGGTGATGGTGGTGGTGGCTGGAGGGAAGCAGGGCTAGGGACCAGGCCAAGCTCAGGCCCTGAATGGGTCTGGGAGCCTGGAAGAGCTTCACAGACACACCAGTGAGAGGTAGGCAGAGACCAGCAGCAGGGTCTACAGCCCTGGCTATGGTCAAGGTGGCCCTTCCTCAGGTCCCTCAAGCCCAACACCAGAGCCCTCTTACCTGGGGAGGGGAGGGTGGAGACTGAGGATGGTAACTTCCGGGGAGTGCAGGTCTCTGCCTCCTCAGGTGCTGAGATGCTGCTGGGCCTCGGAGCAGTGGTGCTGGGGGGCGGAAGGGGGGCAGGAGGGTGCCCTGGGTGCCAAGAAAGGAAGGGAAGGTTGAGACCCCTGTTGGGGTGGGCAGGGACCCTGGGGGTCCCGCCACGCCCCCCGTCCCAAGGACTCGGGGCACTTCGGCTCACAGGCTGTGATGATGTCGCGCGCCCGCAGCAGCTGCAGGTGCGTGAGGATGTGCACGAGGTCGGCCACGCGGGCATTGCGGTTGATCCAGGGCCACAGTACGCTGGCTGTGCGCTGTCCAGAGCGCTCGCACAGCCTCAGCTCGGTCTGGTCCCGTACGATCAGGGCCGCTGCAGGACCGGGGGCGTCAGGCGTCGGGGCCCAGGAGCCCGCAGCCGCCCGCCCCCGCCGGCCCGCCCGCCGTCACCCACCGAACTGGCACCAGTCGGCGGGCTCTAGGGCGTCCATCACTTTGTAGAAGCGGCACATGACCCAGGGCGGCACCTCATACAAGAAGTGCTGCGCGCCGGGGGCCGCGGGCTCCCCCGGGCCCGGCCCCCCGGCCATGGCCGCCGCCGCCCGGCCGGGGCCTCTCGGGGCCTCTCGAGGCCGCGGCGGGCGCGGGCCTGGGCCGGCCGGGTCGGCGGACACTGACTCACTTCCCCTTTGAGCCGGCCTCGTGCGACGCCCGGCGGGGCGGAAGAGGCGGTGCCCGGCCCCGTAGCCACCTCGCGCGCAGGCCGGGGCTCCCCTCGGCCACATGGGGGCGCCCCGCTACCCTTTGCCGCGCGGGGGTGGGACCCCTACCCATCTTGTCCGCGCTAGGCGGGGCAGAGCGGGCTTCCAGGAGGAGGGGCCGTGTGAGTGGGACTCTGAAGGAGGAAAAGCAGCTCCTAAACTGGAAACAAGGGGCACAGCAAAGGAATGGGATGTCACAGGAAGACCGCTCTTGCTAGCCTACTGACAGTCACTAGGAGGCCCCGTTATTTGGGAGGCAGTGGAGAGTCGGCAGAGTTCAAGGCGGAGCAGGGTCAGATGTGGCTCACAGAAAAGTTCTCCCTCGTTGGTGACTCTCATCAGCTGGTGGTGAAGCTGGATGCAGGGAGAAGGGTGTGGAAGCTTGTACACCAGGCTGCCTGCTTCAGCACGCCTCAGCAATCAGTAAGTAGCTCTTTGCCACTTTTCCTTCTCTGCTGGCTTGTCCCACTGGCACAGAAACGTGTTCATCTCCTGACAGTGGCCATGGCATTGCCCTGCGCTCAGCTTCCTGCTGCCCCGTTCTGTTCTCTGTCATACTTCTGGTCCTGTGAGGACACCACAGACCAACAGCCTCTCCTGCCCTAGTCCCAGTCTTTCGTGCCTGTTTCCTCGATGCTCTCCACCCTGGAATTGATTTGGCTTCTCTGGCCATTCCTTTGCTGTTCTCTGGCAGACACCATCTGGCTGTCATCTCCCTGAGCATCTTTGGAGGCCACCCCTTTCCCATAGGCCACTGCCCTCCCCACAGCCTTACCTTGATGAAGGGGGTTCCTTGCTCCATCTCTGTCCAGAGTGCCTTCCTCAGGCATTCATCAAGCCACCACATTTTCCTGGACAAGTCCTTCCCAAGGTCCTCAAATCCTCCTGTGGAGGCCCAGTTCTTTGGGCCTGTTTACAGGGCCACGACAGCCTAGCCCCTACCTGCCCACCTTGTGTCTAGCTCACCTTCTGCACTCATCAGTAGCCATCAGCCATTGAGAACTGCCCCAGCCGTCCTCCAACATGGCAAGAATGCTGTCTCTCAAAGCCATGAGTTTGCTGTTGCTCTCCTGGCCCTTGTTTATGACGTAAGGTTTTTTGGTTTTTTTTTTTTTCCTGCAGTTTTTGGTCGGGGCTGGGTTTGAACCCGCCACCTCTGGCATCATATGGGGCCAGCGCCCTGGCCCTTGTTTATGAAGGTTGAGCTTTGGCAGCTGTAGGAACAGTGTCTTGAGCTCCTGGGCAGCTGCCGCAGCCACTACATACTGCACTGCACACGTCCTATCTCATACAGCCTTCCAGAAGGGGAGCCCCAAGCCCCTGCACCTGACTCCTCACTGCACCAGACCTCTATCCAACAGCACTGGGGACTGACCATTTTGTTCCTCCAGCTGGATGCGTGAAGGGAAAGCAACAAGCCTCCTCCCCCAACAGTCTTCCTCTCCTGCTCCACCCTGAAGGCAAAGGAGCATCTCAGCACCAGCTTGTTCTCCCAGAAACTTAGGGCTGTTTCTAGAAACAAGGTCTGCTCAAGGCCCACAGCTGCCCCTGTTGAAGCCTGTTCCCTGAAGTTGCAGCCACTATGACCACTTCCAAAGGGGTAGTCAACTATGAGACCTGAGACCCCAAGGCTCTTCGCAGGGACAGCCTTTACTAAGATGTCCTGCCCAATCCCAGCACCCTGGGAGGCCGAGGCGGGTGGATTGCCTGAGTTCAGGAGTTCGAGACCAGCCTGAGCAAGAGTAAGCCCTCATCTCTACTAAAAATAGAAAAATTAGCTGGGCATTGTGGTGGGAGCCTATAGTCCCAGCTACTCAGGAGGCTGAGACAAGAGAATCACTTGAGCCCAAGAGTTTGAGGTTGCTATGAGGTGTGATGCCATGGCATTGTACCCAGGGAAACAGAGACTGTCTCAAAAAAAAAAAAAAAAAGAAGAAGAAAACAAAAATTGCTGTGCATACTTGCACCACCCTCTATGGAAGTGGGCAGGGTCCCAAGTTCATAGCGCTTGCTCAGACAGGCTCCCTGCATACAGGCTGCACTATGGAGTCCCTTCTAGTAGGTGTGTCCATATTTGCACAGGAAGCAGGGACTCTGAATGAATCCACAGCCTGCTGCCCCATACAGTTCTCTTCTAGCCCAGTACCAACCTGGTGAGGTAGCTTATGGGAAGCCAGCGACAACAGGTACCCCTTTGGGCACTCTGTCAGCATGCCCTTGCCTGGTCAGGGAGCCAGGTCAGCAGTCGTTAGAGGCCATGGGTGGGTCTCACTGATCTGGAACAGGGGAGGAGCAAGGGCCTAGGGCTCTAACAGCACTCAGTAAGTAAGCCCTAGGAGGCACCCTCCTCACACAGGGACAAGGAAGCTGTGCTACAGGTAGACTCATGCCAGGCCCTGCCCTCCACACGCTGAAGCAGCCAAGGAAGGTGCCAGGAAGGCTGGTGTGTGAAGTGGGCTTCCCTTTCCTCTCGTGGCAGTCCTGAAATTGGCTATCTGGGTTTTGGGACAGCCAGATGAAATGGGGGAACACACTACCATGTGTCATGTGAGCTGGAGAGGGGGACTTCTGTCTTATAATGAAAGCCCAGACCTTGAGTCACTTTCACAGAGAGATTTATCGAGAATGCTAACAGCACAGGATACAGTACTTCCCAACAAAAGGTGCAAACGCATCACTTAGAAAGGCATGCTATTTCTTTGCTTTCACATGTATTAAAAAACTTACAAAAATAAAATAAAACTGCGTGCTGCCCATCTTTTCAAATAGTAAAAGAACCTTATGAAAAAATCACTTGATTTTACAACAAAAGACACAAACGGACATTTTTATGTAAATTTATAAGGCAAACTCTTTATATAATAAATAGGTTACAGGGATGGGGGGGTGTTTTTGAAACGTATACAGGTACATTCAGACAGGTTTACTGAAATGGTACAAATTTCCTTAATAAATTGCCTTTTGTTTTTAAATATATCAGTGCTTTCAGTCATTTGGCTATACACAACCTTTTTTTTGAACACTACAAAAAAGCAATCAATAATTTTTGTTGTTAAAACGACCTACTTATTTTCTAAAGTAATTGTCCCAAAACAAAAAACTGAAGGTGAGTGTGGTAGGGGGTTTAGAGACATCTCCAGCTAAGTCTGTCCTGGCTTGTCCCCATACCCCAAATGCGCTTCTCCCAACCTCAGATGGGTTTCTGAGCTGGAGTCAGCTCCCTTCTGCACAGGATAGCCTGTGACACTGGCAACACTATCCACATACCTTGGCCTCTGGGATGGCACAGGGGAGCATGACTTCAACTCGGGAGCGGGGCAGACACCCTGCTGGCTTCCTCCAGCTACTACACCCCATGTGTGAATGCTCACTACAGTCAGGACTGTCTTCACCTCTCAGCAGACAGGCCACCAGGTGCTACAGGAGCCCCAAACAATGTCTAACACAGGTCTCGGCTGAGAATGATCTGTTTTTGCCATGGAAAGGGAACATGTTTCTCATGTCCAAATTTTGCTAGGGACTAGATGATAAATCTTTCCACCTTCATTTTATTGCCCCCGATAGTGGGGACTAGAAATCTCATGTTAGTGTTGTGCACTAGGGCACAGGGTAGGTAGGATGTGACAAAAGTTGTCTCCAGTGGCAAGGTCCATAGGGCATGCCTTGGAGATGAGAATGCTACCCTTCCAGGAGAGCTGCAACATATGCCTGGCATGTACCCATAGCCCATTCCACAGTGGAGTGTCCTGGTCACACCCTCACTCCACCCTACCCCTCTTCAGTGAGGTCAGCTCTGCACACATCCCCTCTTGGCACCCCTCTAAGGATCAACCTTGTCTTTCCTTAAACATAATGATGATGGTAATGAACTCAGGGGAGGGAAACCCGAAGTGATTTTGTCCAGACTTTGAAAATGCGAAGTGTTTGGTCTGTTTGCTTGGAATAGGACTCCCAACCTTAACTTGTTTCGGTGGTTTCTGGCCTATCTGGGAAGAGCTATCTTTTCAGCTCTCTCACAGTACCCCTCCCTCCGAGTGCTTTTGTTTGTAAAGAAAAGGTATCTAGAAGCATTTGTCTCTGGAACAATTACTTTAAACATGGTTAACAATACAGACTTCAGTTCAAACACATAAGAGATTTACTTAACAAAGTTCCTTTCATCCACCAAAAATTACACAAATATAAGCCTCAACACCACAGTTAAGAGGACCAGTAGAGAGAACCTCGTGTTTGGAACACAAAAGGAGAAATAAAAACCAAACCAAACCCAAACAGAAAAACCCCAGAAAGACAAGGAAAGGGCATAGGAGGAAGGAGAGCAAACACAGCACACGGTACAGTGTCCAGATACACGGAGAGCCCAGCACAAGGAACGGGCTCGGCACACATTGAGTAACAGTCCTGGTGATATTTGGTCATATATTCATCAACTACTGACTCTGGAGCGGCTGTTATTGATTGAAGCAGTGACAAATCAAACAGAAAAGGAGGCCGTGGTAGCAAGGGAACGAGCAGGCTTCAAGTTCTCCAAGCCTTTTGCACTCCACTGTCAAGTTCCCCAGAAACACTGAACCAGGTGGGGCCCTGCTCCATCTGGGCGGGGCTGGAGTCACCGGGTGAGGCTAACTCAGGTGCTGATTTCATGTCAGTCAGAAATCATGCACATGGACACACGCGGACACCCACCTGTTAGTGGCCAAACATCAGTGGCAACGGCCTCCTCTGCCCCCAGCCCAGGCTGGGTAGGAAAGAACATGGCTACCAGCTGCTAATACTGAATGTGCTGGAGCAGGCCCTGGGGGTGGGGGAGGGGCCCAGAGGCTGTCCCAGCCTGGTCCTCCCCAGGGCCTGAGGGTAGCCTGGCCACTTGACTGTCTCTCATTTGGATTCAGGCCTCAGAAG